TATAAATATAAAAAGCATACAGAAGCATTTTTACTGTCTACAACTTAGAATGCCTGTAATTTTGAGTTTTAATAGACTAATAAATCAACGTGCGTGCACTCTGTGTGTGATTGCACATAATTACAACAACACTTACCATATTATCGCAGAAGATATACTGTAAATCGCACACCCCAGACTCGACTTGAGTGGAAAATGACCCGCGGTTGTGCGCGCACTTGTTTGCACATGAGCAAAGGTGTTTTTAGGAGTCTAACTTGCAAGTGCCAGACCACTGATTCGTCAAACCTGCTTTCCTGCAGTCCGTGTTCTTCCGACTTCTGACTATTTTGTAGTAAGTAACGAATATACTTCGGGGAAATGTATCGGAGTAAAAGTATACATTTTAATTAGGAAATGTAGTGGAGTAAAAGTAAAAGTTGGCTGAAATATAAAAACTCAAGTAAAGTACAGATACTCCCAAAAAATACTTAAGTACTGTAACGAAGTATTATTACTTTGTTACATTACACCACTGTACTTAGGCTATTAAGAGTAAAAGTAAAGGTATATACAGTATTGTTCTCAAAAAAAGAATTTGTCAGGATGGTTTTGCATTAATATTACTGCTGCACTGATGTGTATGTTGCATTTTACTTCTGAATATGTTCAAGGTTATTACATTTAAAGCTGCCTACTTCATATACTGTTGGGTAGTTTAATCTACAACAATGCATCATATGTTGTAAAAGACCATATTTTTGTAGTGTTGCTGTCCTGTAATAAAAAATAAAATAAAATAAAACTTAGTACTTCACATTTGTACGAGAATACTTAACGAATGTACGTCCTTACAGTCCACCAGTGATTATTTTGAAAATTAAACTAACAACATTGAGCTGTACAATGCTCTATTTTTTATTCATAGTTTTATTTTTATGCTTAACTGACTACAAAAATTCAGGGTTGCAAACCTGTCTACATATGATTACCATGGTCAAGACAATAAACTATTTAAAATCGCACCTTTGTAAGATATCAGTCAACCTGTGTGTGTGTGTGTGTTTTGTAGTTTTTTCATATGTATGATTACATTATTCAAGTAAGTTCTAAGCCAATACCTGCATTTAAAGTTATAATCCGGCAAGTAAGGATGCAGCAAACCAGTGTAACTTACCTGGCCCCGGTCTTGGCTAAGCCTGAGGTACATCACCGTCTCCTCCACCGTCTTATGACGTAAAACATAAAAGCAAAAATGAGCTATTCTGGCTCCACGGGTCCTGTCAGGATGGCATCTCTCCTCTCGCACCGTGGCCTTCGAAGAGTGTGCACTTAACTTTGGGACACAGCTAGTGAGTGTGACACTGGTGAGGAAGAGGAAGAAGTATACATATTAAATTATTTAAATAACATGCTTTCAACTAACTGAGAAAATGTAATTCATTTTGTAAAAAAAAAAAAAAAATACCATTTAAAATAATGGTTTGATCTTTCAATATAAAGAAACATAAATGTCAATATAACAACATCACATTTAAGGTCAGGCAGTAAAATTTTCTGACTTTACACCAAATGGCAATTGTTTGGGTTTTGCTGTTACTCCATCCACTTACATCATTTTTGCATCTCTAAACACTTCATAAGAGTGATCGCGTTGCTATTCATCTCAAATTATTTTATCCAAACAATAATATTGCATAAAATGTCTAAGTGTTAATTCATGATCTGTTGTGTTTTTTCACGTTGTACGTCTTATTAAATTAGCTTTAGCTAAATTAGCTTAAATCTGTGATTATTATTTTAATTAAATGTCACTTTTAATTCATCTTGAGGACCTAAATTTGCAGCATGTGCGGATCACTGTGCCATTTACTGGACAATTCATGAAACTGTACACAGTGGAAGCATGCCAGGTGAAATATATCTTCTACTTTGAAAATGTCAACAAGCATCTATAGTTTAGCTTAACTGCATAAATGAATATATGCAAATGAATAGGTAAAGCAGTCATAACACACACCAGTCAAGTCTCAGAAGCAGTACACTGAAAAAAAATTATACTTAATTCTTTTAAGGTAAGTGGTTGCAAACAATTTATTTTAGCTACATTTAACAAGGGTTCATTCAAAAAAATAATGAAACCATAATTTTTAAACATTTACACTTGCACTACATCACTTTGTGGTTTGGCAGTTGTCTCATGTAGTATGACTCATTTCTTATTTCTTGTACTGTCTTGTATTGTCTTGTATTGTCTTGCAACTGCGAACAAGTCATTTTTCATTCACATGTTTACATTTTATTTTATTTTGTACTAACCATCCTTTACTTTGGGAAATCAATAATGCTGTGACTCGAAACCAAGCTCCTACCGAAACAGCATTTTGGCCATTCTAGGCTTGTTGAGAGTCAGCTGAGTCTACATATGATACCCACAAATGAGTGCTGTCTAGATAGACAGCACAATAGGTCTTGAGACAGTGTACAGTGCTACACATGAGCTGGAACAGTAACAGGTCCACCTCTATGGAAAGCCATTTTAACATTTATTCCTTAAATTAACTAGAATCTGTTTAGTTTACTATACCTATTTTTATTTGTTATTAATTTATTAGACAACAGTGTCTTTTCCATTCCATTTTTACTAGAAACATTTCAAAGTTAACTAATAAGACATTTAAATTAACAGCAAAGGAGCAGTTCTGGCAAGTCATTACGTATAAGAACACATTTTAAGACATAAACTAGTGCCTCACATATAGTTACTAGCATCTCTCTATTAGTAAAAAGAAAATGTTATAGCAAAATGGATGGCAACCGCCGGATTTGTTACTAGTAACTAATGAATGAGTACTAATAGTATCTGCTGAATATGTACATGCATTTTAATAGACAGTTGCATGTGCATTTGACGGCTACAAGTCACTACTGGATTACTTACTGGATTAATTAAAAAAAAAAAAACAACTAGCAACACAATATTACTTAGTTTAAATGAATGAATGTTAAGACAGCTTGCCATACACTTCAGTAGGCAATTAACTTAGAGCGCACAAACTCTCTTACCAGATAAAGTCCGTGCAGTGGCTGCAGAAAGTAGGCTGCTTGAAGAAGCGAGCGATAAACTTGTGGTTCTTAACTTCGTGAACGTTTTTCTGTCTCAGGGCACCTTGTCGGGCAAAGCCCCTCATGGGTGCGCTCCTCTCCTCTCCATCGCTGTTCGATTGCTCTGCCATTCTCAACGCGGGGAACGTTTGCCAAAGCCTGTACACTGGAGTGAGTTGTGCGGAGTGCGAACATGTAATGCAAAGCTCTCAGGCGCGATGCTTTGCGTCCCTCTCCGCCCAAGTGCCCTCCTTGCGCACCCGTACACGCACACACACTCTGACGCGCTGTTACAAGACTCCTCCCACCCTCCCA